TCAACAAACAAAATGAGTGTTTCTTCCACTGGATTTTTTTTTCCAGCAAATATTAAGAAATGAAAAAAACTGGTGAAAATAAACAAAAATGTTCTCATTAGTATGTCTTTGAAAGATACCTAATAAAGCTTTCCCCCTAAAGGAGAAGAAATGAGATACTTATTTAAATGACTATCATTGGGCTTTACTGAAAATGTTCCTTTTCCAAGAGCGAAACATTTCTATTTTACTAAGAATAAAAACAAACAAAAAAACTTCTTTAAGAAAAAAGAAAGAAATGAGATTTTAATGACAAATACTGGTGGGAACATCTAAAGACTATATAAATCCAACAAGTCAGTAAAATTAATCTAAAGTGCATGATGTAAATAAATTTGAAACATGATTCAGAGGATAAAGAGCAAAACAGGCACTTGGGTTTGAGTTGCCTGAATCATCTTTTTAAAAAATGAACAGGGCCATGAGAAAGACAATGAAAATATGATGCCTATTATTAAAATCTCCTAAATTTTTCTTTAATTTTATTTAAGACATGATAATTTTTAAATTCTTCCCAATGGATTTAAGCATATGACTAAAGTCCATGACATAAAAACTTTAAGTAACTGTTTGGCAACAAACTGTTTTACAACATATATTTAGAGTCAAAATCATAATTTCAGAAATATAATCCAATTTGTAGATTAGCCATGGCTTTTAGCCACTTTTCTTGTCTGCTAGCAAATACAAAGGCTAGAATTAGTACAATGCTACATTCTATAAGAAACAGTAAAATGGCCATTATAACTGAAAATTCTAAACAGTAACACATTCTTTTTTTTGGCCGGAATCAGAGATTGAACTCAGGCCTATTAGAACTTGGTAGGGAAGCGCTTATTCTACTGAGCCATCTCCCCAGCCCCATTAACACATTCTTTAAAACTGAAAGACTTTCAGATTGAGAACATATGCTTTAAAATTTATGCAGTAACATAAAGAAGTACTACAATGAGTCTTAGAAATAATCTTAGCCAATTGTCAGACTTCTTTTGTGGGAGAATTCATTCTTTAAAAAATTCCACATAGAAATGATAGGCACACAAACAATAAGGGGGGCTTAAAAGAGGTAGTTGGTCTTGCATGCTTATGCAACTACAAGGACTCTTTCAGGCTTTACGTGGGGTTTCATACATAACGTTGATCACGTTTATTTTCTAATGAGTACATGGGGACCCAAAAAGAGGAAGTGAATTGTCAAATGTCAAGAATGTCCACTGCAAAGCCAGCTCTAAGACAGAATCTACCTATATTAGTCTGGTAGAGCCGCCAAAACAAAACATTATACAACTGGGCAGCTTAAGAGAACCTTCTCATATTTCTTTAGTTATAGGTATCACATCAAGATTCAGTAGGGTCGGTTGTTAGGGAAGCTCTCCTCTTGGCTTGCAAACACCACCTAGTCACTGATTCTCAGGGAGTTTTTACACAGTATGTACAAGTGATAGGAGCTCTCTCTTCTTATGATGCTATGACCTTGTTAATTACGTCTGTACTCGTACACTCTCATTTAATAAGCCTTACCTCCTAAAAGCCCTATCTCCAACTATCATCACATTGAGGATTAACGTTCAACATATGAATTTAGGGCACACAATTCAGTCAACACCAAAAATGTAAACCATAGCAATACTTTAAATGTGGACCCACTATAACAAATACTACAAATACTCTCTTGTCTCTAAGAAACTAGAAAACCACATAGACAAGAAATATTTTCTTTGTAATTTTTAAAATTTTCACTATTTTAATGTTGAAAATTTTAAACACATATCAGACCAGCTAGAAAATATTGTACAATAAACCCTCATACCAGCACCAATAATTATCATCAGCTCCACCTCCCACCCAGAGAACATTTATGTTTACCAACATGCCACTAAGCCAATGTATCTTTACTTATATACCGTATTTATTTCATGTTATAACCAACTATACGTGAACCCTGTTTAATTTTAAGAATAGGGAGAAGATACAGAAGCTAACACTAAGACTAAAACTTTAACCTAGATTTTAGTTTGTCAGAACCAAACAACATTTGGTTTGCTTGGAAGATACCACATAATATTGCTTACATTGCTCAACTGTCTGTCTCTATTAACCAGTAACAAACAAACAAAAAAAAATGGTGGTACACTGGAGCATATCAGTTCAAACCTGGACTCAGACATCTGTTCACTTAGTTACTTACATCTCTGCTCCTCACTTTCCTCAACTGTATAGTGACCAATCCTACTACTGTGTCTTTATATTTGCATAATGGCTTCCATTTTTCCGAGTATTTTCTTCCAACTTGCTTTTTAAACCTTATAGATATCTTAACATCATCCTTACTTTGTATGAGGAAACTGAAGTAACAGATATATGAAACCCACACTACCTTTTCTTATAGCTCACATACATTACTATGTAACGTTACCTGCATATTCATATTATCTTAGTACCTAAAACATGTAAGTACCAGAATATAATTACAACATCTTGCAAAGACTTGGTTCTTAATAAATATGTTGGGCCAGCCAAATAGCTCAGCAGATTAAAGCACCTGCTTAGGCAGATGCAGGGGTCAACAGTGTGATTCCCCCAACCTGTTGTGCTGGCTCTGCCCCTGGGGCGCGTTGAGATGGTGATTGAAACTGGGCACGGTGGCACGCACCTGTAATCCCTCACTTGAGAGGCTGTAAACAGGAGGATCACTTCGAGTCTGATCTACGCAGTGCGACCCTGTACACCCTGTCCTAAATACAAAAAAAATTTTAAAAAAAAGCTACTTTGTAATTTGGCAAATATAACTTAAATTTTTGATTACCGCCCGCTCTACTACCTAACCCTCAAGAATTGTATCATATGTGCCACAAGAAACCTATGAAAAATTATGAATAAAATTATGATACTATTAGGATCCACCATGTAATCTTTATTGCATCAGAAAATTGGGAGAATAAAGTGATGTTGCAAATACTATAGAAGAGTGGCACTATGGCCACACACAGGCACAACCCTATATCAAAATCTATCTGGTCAGACAGATCAGAGCATAGTGACCAACAAGCAAGTGTGTTCCATGACTTTAGCTGGCTTATGTCCCCTGGGCTTCTATTATAGTTCTATTATTCTTACTATGGTAGTTCTGGTAAGGAAAAGTAACTGATATGTAAGAGAATAAATGATATGTCAGTTTATACCACCTCTGCTCCAATAAGAAACAATCAACATTTATCTACTGATTTGCTTAGGTGTTTGGAGCCACCTGGAAGAAGAGATTTACCATTACCAAGGAACGCCTCACTTCTTTCCTAATATTTTGAGATAAACACTGCATCATCAATACAGAACACTGACCTGCACTTGCATTAGAATAGTACGAAAAGCCTATTAAAATGCAAAGCCAAGAGTAAGAACAAGCTTTTCATGTCTATAATTCATTTAACAAATAAATACTTTGTTGGGTGACAGAATTATAGAAATGTAAGAAAAACCTATAGCAAACTATACTCCACAATCAATTCTGGCCTGTCATCTGCTTTTACTGACATATAGCCATATATATCTATTTTTAAATATCTACTGCAGTTTTCCACTAAACCAACAAAAGTGAGGAGTTACAACAAGACACTGGCTCATAATGTCTGAAATACTTGGTCTTGTACAGAAAAGTTCAGTAACTTCGGGAGAGAGAGTTCACATCCTATGTAGATCTGTCAACAGTATGAAGTTCCCTGAGATAGCCAAAGACGAAAGTCAGGACAAACTTTTCAAGTGAAAAAATGGTTACCTGGGATTTAACTGAGAACTGGGAAGTAGTCTGATAGAACTAAAAGTATACTCTAGGTAGAGGTCGTAACAAGATAAGACCAGTAGCTCTAGAATTATAGGGCCTGTCTCAGGAGCTGCAAGAATTGCTGGAGTACAGTATCCAAAATAGTGGAAGACAAGGTTGGAGTGAAAGCATTATGAATTATATGTACCAGGTTGAAAAGTTTATATTTAAAAATATATATATTCATCATTTTGTGTTCATATTTAAAACAAATAACATCTCTATCACCTCTGGAAGGCCAAACAAAAAAGTAATAAAGAAATTACAGGGGAAATGAGTATTGAAGACAGGATAGATGAGAAACTTCACTAGATATTATTCTTAAGTTTGTTTTTCACATCATATGAACACCTGCTTCTTCTAAAATTACATATTTAAAAATAGGGAGAATGTAATGGAGATAGAAAAGATGGTATTTTTCACACTGAATAAAAACAAGACCCAACCATATAAAGAACATTGATATAAGAAAAAGGAAAAAGATACCAATACCAATGTTTAAAAAGTCAGCAATGTCTACATAGCAATGACTATATGAACATTATACAATAAAAGGATTTCAAGAGCAAAATTATTAGAAATCTACAGACAGGAGCACATTTCATACTGCTAAAGATTCAATTCATGATGGATCAAACAATCCTAAATGTTTGCACCCAACTAATGTAGTTTAGTGATATAACACAATAATTAACTAAAAGGCAAAAAAAAAAAGGCAAGCCCTTTATAAAAGTTGAGGATAATACCTCACGCAGGAAAAGCAAACCTAATCAGTTATTAATAGATAAATTCCACTAGAGTAGTTGCCTGATAATGGGATTAGTCAGGTATAAATAAGAGTAAGTATCAGGAACAGCCAGGCATATTGGCACATGACTGTAATCCCAACATGCAGGAGCTACGGCAGGAGGACTGAACAAATTAAGACCAGCCTGGACAACATAGGAAGACACTGTCTCTAAAAACAAGAGTAGGTACCAGGAACAAAGAAAATCAAATTAAACAGAAATGGAGCCTTACACAAATGATAAGATTCCAAATATTGATGGTATATGTACCTTAGTTTGATGAACATCAGATTCAAAAACGAAAATTAAAGATCAAATACAATTAGACAAATTACTATACTGCACATCTTTCTTACCAGCATCACGGTTAAATTCATAATTCTTCCAAGGCTGTCAATGTAGTATACACTGTCTTGATACCATGAATCACAATGTAGGTAATTGTACATCCCAAAAGCATGCATGTGTTCCAGTGTATATTGGTCATCTCGAAGTTTTACTTCTGCCACAGCTGAAATACAGAAAAATAAATACAATCAAGTTTTACTTCAGACTGTTTCGTTTTACAAAGTGGCTACCAGGCAAAGAAATCATATAATGCCCATCACAAAGGTCTTCAGGATAATTCATGATTCATGCAACTCTCCTTTCTTTAGGAACCTCTTAAATTATGAATAAGTAGAATAGAAATTAAAAAGTAATGATGGGCTTCCTGTACATTGGGCAAATAAGCCCAACCTAAAAAGTGTCTTTAAACTCTAAACACATAACATACTTTACTTAAGGAAATTAATGACAACTTTCCAAAGATGCAGTCAAGATACAAAAGAATTTAAGAAAAAAAAAACCTACCATACATCCGCATATACCCCTTTATGCGTACCAGGCAAAATGAAAATAGGCAAAAGTAGGAGGAAGATCTTGTGTTCAAAGAACTAGAGGCCATAGTGCCACATACAGCACAAGAAGTACTACAGCCAGGAAGATGACTCAGTGAACTAGTGCAGTCATCCAGGTGAGAGATGACTGCAATTTAAACACTTCAGAGAAAAAGCTCATAATTTTATGAGCAATTCAGTGGAGGTTGAGGAAACTACTGTTTAATGCAAAGAAAGAACTGTTCATAAGGACTGAGTAGAAATACATATTTTATTAAATAGGAATGGTTTGTTAGCACCACAGTGTGGATGAAACTCATAAGGCAGGAAATATGCATGGTAATATAAAAGCTTAAGGTACTGATATTAGATAATAATATAACCAATATATTTTCTCCATATTTGGCAGAGCCATAGGTAATTATAAACAAGCCAGAGGTTTTTAGCAATTTGCTTTACTACAACACCTTATCTGCAAACATATTTAGAAGTGGAGAACCACTGTTCGGAGACCAGCATTTTAGTTGCTGCATTTCAACAAGATAATTTACATGATATAACATGAAGATATGGCATATACATGGTTACTATTTTGTAAAACTCTCATTAGTAGAAAAAGCCTGCTTTCTGGCCCATATTTATTTTTACTCAATCTTTGAGTAAAAAGGACAAAGCCAGAGCAACTGAAAAGAGAACAGAAGCATCCAGAATCTGACAAAGCTAAGCCACTGTGAGTGGAGCTCTTTTGCGAAACCCTCCCAAGAAAGGGAATAGAGAATGGGGAGGCACTAACCTGGATCTTTGAAATGGTTGAAGAGGAATTCTATTACAGAAAAGTGGATGTAGTGAATGCTTCATTAGAAACAAGCTTTGCTTAAAAAAAAAAAAAAAATATCATTTTTTTTAGTCCTTTATGAAAAACAAACACCCTTCGGGCCTCACAAGAAAAAAATTCTCCCCCAATCCTCCAAAATTCTTATAAACCTCAAATAATATAGTTTTTCATAGGAAAATTATCAAAGCTCATGGGGCCCCAGAAGCCTAACTTTTCACTCCTAAGTTACTTACTAAATAGTCTACTGTGTACCAGACACTGCACTTGGCTTTGGGTAAATACTGGCAAGAGAAGCTAACTTGACTCCTACCCAGTGCTGCTAACAGAGATAGTCACCACTGCTTATTATTCTCTTGAAATATATTGAGCCATATGAAACTACCAATATTCAATCTACTATTTCTATAAATACATTAGTTTGTTTTGTTTTAAAGGGCAAGTGAAAAAGCAAGAACATGATTACAAAGATCACCTTTGGAGCCAGTCAATACCTAGAAAGTCTTGTACTTACTTGGTTTATCTTGTGCATGAAAGTATAAAAACATAAGAGTACTGTACAAATCTGTGTAAAGAGTTCTGAAGTAAGACTTACAGAACAGGGCAGGCCCAGCAACTGGAGTACTGCTCCCATGAAACTGTTTTATACAGTGCTTCTGTGATCAAACCATGTCATCTTGTTGTCCTCCATATTTTCCTTTGTAGCAGTAGATAGGAGTTTTATAGATATCTCTACATCAAAACAATGACTATGTGGTCCTTTTCCTTCCTTTATTCCAACTAGAGACTAAATCTTTACCAACTTAACTTCTCTGCTTTGAAGGAAAAAAATAGCCTAGAGAGACCACAACAAGTACTCCAAGTATTTAAAATAAGAAAGGGAATAAAAGATGTGAAAAAGATTTAAGTCAAGGATTTAGAAATTCAATATATATATATATCTAAAATAAAAGTACACTAGATGGGATTAGTAAAATTAACACTGCAAGAGTAACTTAATGAAATTAAGGACATGAACATGGAAATGTCAAAACAAAAGTGGAAGAAATAGCAAACAAATTTTTGCAAATTTGATGATAAATATAAACTATTTTATAAGCTCAAAAAATGCCAATTACAAGATTCATAAAAAAATAGCACTTAGGCATAGCATCATCAAACTGCTCAAAACAAATGTAAAGGAGAAAACTCTTAAAACAGCCACAGGAAAAGGCATGCTATGTATAGACCAACACACACAGGATAATGTGAGAAGACTGTAGGACAAAGAGAATGAAAAAAACTACCAACCTAGGAATCTATGCATGGCAAATATATATTTTTTATATCAAAGAAAAACAAAATTGTTCTCAGAAACCTGTTTTCAAAAACGGGAATGACTGCATCACCAGAAGATGATCAAAACATTAAGTCATTCATGGAGGATAATTATACCGGATAAAATGTGGAGCAATATAAAGGAATAGCAATTACATGACTAAACACACAGATTTTTTTTTTCTATTTAAACCTGTTTAAAAGAGATCTAAACAAAAATAATTTTAAAAAATTAGTGATTTCCAATAACATGTGAAAGTAAATTTTATGACGATAAGAGGCTAAGGGCCAAGAGAAAATAAAACAAAATATACTACCATAAGGTTCTTATGCTTCATACTAAATAGCCTTACTATCATCTGAATTTCTCCTGTACTATAAGTTATGAATGTATATTATATACCCTAAAATGATCACTATAATAAGAAGTTATAGCTAAAATCCAACTAATGAAAATAAAAAACCAATACGATTTAAAATTTTTTCAACATGGGGGTCAGCGAGATAGCGCAGCAGACCAAAGTGCCTGCTTAGACAAGTTTATGCACGTGCAGGGAGTGCACTTCGATCCTGTGCACCACATGCAGCATCAGCCCCACCCCCAGGGTGGGCTGAGCCTGCTAGAGTCTGGGCATAGTGGTGCATGCCTGTAATCCCAGCTCCAGGGAGGCTGAAAATAGGAGGATCACTATGAGTCCGAGCTGTGCAGCGAGACCCTGTAACAACCAAATACATTAAAAAAAATTTTTTTTCAATACAAAACATTCTCAGAAAAATGAGAAAATTACATTCTCCCAAAGACTAGGTAAAATAAGCAAAATACAAACCTAAACCAATCGATAATCACATTAAATACAGATAGTCTAATAGAGATTATCAGGCTGTATGAAAAAGCAAGACTTAGTTCTAAGAAATGTATATTAATTAAAACTATACAAATAGACTGAAAGTAAAAAAAAAGATGGAAACATATACATATACTATGGAAAATTAATCAAGAAAGCTGATATGGTAACAGACAAACTTCTAAATAAAAAATATTGTTGGAGATAAAAGTCATTCCATTATGATGAATGGTCAACTTACCAAGAGGACATAATAATAAATGTTTACAATTAGAACCTTAAGACATGATGCAAAAACTGATAAAACTACATGGAAAACTAAAGAAATTCATAATTATAATCAGATATTTTAATACTTTCTCATGCAACAAGAAATATCTCAAAGTAATCACGCTGAGTGAACTTCATGGGTGAGGATAACAGAAATCAAATTGTTAGTAACTTCAATTATACCTTACTATTTCTAGGATTGATAATTATGAAAAGGATTAAAAACAACCTCAAGTAAATTTCAGATGTTGAGCTACATCCCTGGTTCTCAAATAATTCTTTTTTTTTTTGGCGGAACCAGGGATTGAACTCAGACCCTTGTGCTTGCCAGGGAAGCACTTATTCTACTGAGCCATCTCCCCAGCCCACAAATAATTCTTAAAGAAAGCCCCCGCTTCCATCTTCCAAACTTGACCTTTACAAAGCCTGAGGGTAAGGTATTGAACTGTTCACTTACCTTTATACTTAAAACTCACAATGAGCATATCACTTCCAATAGAGCATTATTTTAAACACAGAATTTAAAATCAACACAGGTGAAATGGGTGATTAAAACTTAGCAAATTTGTGGGCCGGCCTGACAGCTCAGCAGACTAAAGCGCCTGCTTAGGCATAGTGCATCAGCTGGGTTCAATCCCCAGTGTGCAGGCCTGCCTGGAGGGTGCACAGAGATGGTGATTGGGCACTGTAATCCCAGGACTTGGGAGGCTGTAAACAGGAAGATCACTGAGTCCAATCTACATAGTGAGACCCTGTAGACCCTGCCCTAAATACAGAAACAAAACAAAACCTTAGCAAGTTTGTAATAAAAGTTAAGGGTTTCAATTTAAAAAGTATTGAGTTTGAATTCTTGCTTTTTATGTTAAAATATTTATGAAAAGATAAATGACTGAGAAACATTTTCACTTAAAAATGAAAAAATTGACAAAACTAGACAGTTGAAGTTTATCTTTGTTGTAATGGCCTATAAAAAATTGTGGGAAGCACAAATGAAGTCCAAAAACCAATGAGTCCTTAACTCCTCTCACTTTTCAGGTTTTTTTTTTTTTTTTTTTTTTTTGCCCCTTGAATGTAAGATTTTAATAGTGTCCTGCACGGAACTTACTCTTTCCCTTTGTTCATGTTTTCCCATGTTTACAACTTGTGTTATTGAGCACCTAATACTGCATGCACCAAGAATTACGGAAACAGTGTATAAAAGAGAAACATCAGACAGTTTTCATGGAGCTAATAGAAGACAACACCCATCATATAAATAAAGATTGAAATAAAAATAATTAGTCTTATGACTAATGGAATGACTGAGCTCTAAAGAGAAAGCTAGTCAGATTATTGTATTTTAGACAAATGACTAGGACAAAGGCATAAAGTCAAAATGTGGCATTTAATGCACTTGCTGAAAAAACTGGGTAGAACAAAATACACTAAAGATGACTCTAACACGAACAGCTCCACAGACTTACAGTAACAATCTCAAATTTTACACCTCCTTGGATCTAGGGTCTTTAGTGCATCCTTCCCAAACTAGGCTTGATTATTTCATTTGTGCGGGCCAATAGTACAGTAGCAAACTTAATGCAGGAAGCACATGGAAAAAGTTACCATCTGGAAAAGCCTTAACTATCCTGCAGTAGAATGAGCCCACATGAAGGAGAGTAAAGATTAGATAAAATAAATCAGGCTATAGCCAGGGAACTCTCAAACTTATGAGGAAGTCAAGAGAAGCAGAGATGCCTACCACACTCGTGCATCTACGGGTGTGAAAGAGTCCAGTTAGGGCTAGAACCCTAACTTACCCATGTATCTGTGAGCAAGTGCTTTTTCATCTGAGGTACTGAATCTGAGTTTCATCTCGTTTCAATGAATTAGCAAACTCAACATGAAAGTATCATTTACTGACAAAAAGACCAAAAGCAAATGGAAAATCAACTCCTACCTAGTCTTTATTAAAGCTCAGCTTAGATACCAACCTCTCCAAGAAGCCTTCCCTGATCCACGTGCTGGTTTAGAAGGACTCTCAACAGTACCACAGCACTGTGCACATCATTTTTCTAATTATTTAGACACTTCTTCCTCACTAGGCAATACCTATGTCATACACTTATAGTCTGTGTCTTACTCATTTTGATAACGTTTTACAAAACGGCCCTTGATATGTTTTTGAATTTAATCAAAGAATTAATAAACATTTATTTGATTCTCTAAAGCCTAATTAACTACGGACCAATATTTCTCAAAATGTGACGTACTGACAACATGCATAAAAATCAGTAGGGCATGAATTTAAAAAAATTCACATCTTTCCGCTGTCATCATCGTTAACAGAAACGAAACTAGTAGTAGCGTGGTTGCTAAATCATCATTTCCTCAAAAATTTCTAGTGAGTCCCTGGAAGACAGTTCGCAGGACCTCTGTAACTGAAAGCGTTTTTTGTCCACAACTGAGCTTCTCTCCTAAGAAAAGGCTCTGCGTCAGAGGAAACGAGATGGGGATTTTCCAAAGAGGTGTGGCTTCTCGGGGAGTACGTCCGCAGACGAGGCTCGCAAGGTCCGGAGCCTGCCGTGAAATAGGGACGCGCGGGGTACGCGGAGCTGGGAGGCGGCCCGCGCGCCGACTGCGAGCGCAGAGCAGGATCTTGCCGCTAACTAGCTCCCGCGGGGCTCGGGGACAGCCGCTCAGGGCGCACCTAGGCGGGAGGGCCAGGAAGAAGGCAGTGTTACCTTGCGTGGCCGCAACAGAAATAAAAAGCGGGAAGGTTCAGGGCGACAACAGCCGAAAGAGTAAAGGAACTGAGTGAGACGGGGCGCCGCTGCTTCCCACCTGCATCAAGCTCCAGCTGGTAACAGGGCAGCGGCTCGAGAGAGAGCTTGTAACCCTCGAAGCGGGGGTCCAACAGAGGTCTCTTCACCCGCAGAGAGCAATTAGCTGCCACCTCCATCACCGTCCAAGGTCCTAGCGTCAGAAATAATAAACCACCCGTTAAAAGATGCGCGCCTCAGACATCCATCTAAATCTGTGAGGCAGCGTGGTGGTTCCCACCCCAGAAAGCACTACGCTTCAAAGGGCCTTCTGGGAAATGTAGTGTCTGTGAGAAAGGTGTCTACATTGCATGCTGGGTGATGTAGTTTTCTGATTACTTACAGTCCGAACATTGGCGGGGTCTGGACTCTCTTACCCAGAGAGCTGAGCGGCCAGGAGGCGGCCCGCGCTAGTTAAATTCTCATATTATAGGCAGGGTGGCGAGACCCCGCCCCGGAAATGCGTGTTCTAGCTTTCTGTGTGCTTAGGTGCCCGAGCTACTGAGGGTCTAAGTCCGGGCAGCCGGAAGAGTGTGGTAGGTAACGGTCGCCAGCGCAAGGGTCATTTCGTCGCTGGGAAGGGACGGCCCTCGCCCGCGGTGATGGTGGTGAGCTATGCCCGTGGTCCTCAGGGCCGGGACCCGGGCCCGGCCCAGGCTCCTTTCGATGTGCTGTCTCTCATTAGCGTCCCCGACCCGCGCAGGCGGGCCTGTAGGGCTCTCCGACTGGGCGTGCTGCTGGAGTTGGCCCGCAGCCAGTCCTCGCTTTGTTTTCTGGCTCCTCCCTCCCGCCTCTCCAGCAGTCCCCGCCCTATTATGTTTTCCCAAAAGTCTGAAATGGGAGGGATCCCCTAGCGCCCGCGTTTTACCGGTGAGGAAACTGAGGCCTTTAAGAAGTGACTTGACCAAGGTCACTCTCCGCATTTGGGGGGCCAGGGCGGGGGCAAGTTCAGTGTTGCACTGACCAGACTGAACGAAAGTAGTTATTCTGAAAAGCGCCAACACCAACTGCAAAAGCAAACATTTCCTAGTTCTTTCTCCATCCTTTGCCTTGTTCCCCAGGGAGGAAGAAAATAATTCCAACTCTGAAAACTTACTGTCATTCTTGAGGTTTTTTGTTTGTTTGTTTGTTTGTTTTTTGTTTTTCCTGTGGAGGAGAAAACAAAATTCAAGTTAATGACAGAATCACTAGGTGTAGGAAAAGATTAGTTTATAAGCAAGATTTATTTAAATTTTCAAATGGCTTAGATGTCTTAAGAATTTAACTTTACTTTCATTTCTACATCATTTTCAATTGGGCTCTCTGTTTTTACAGACAGTTGAGAATTTACTAAGAATGAAAAGATTTGTTTTCCCTGTATTCTGCCAGCATTATGTGTGCTTAGTAATACACACATACACACACTCACAGGGAGTGTAGCAGTTGTAATTCTAAATACATTCTACAAAACACAGAGTTTTGCCTGGTAGTTTCATTTTTCACTAATAATGTTTAGTCTTTGATGTGTAGGTTATGTAGCTTCCCCAAATTTTGAATGCAGTTAAAAGTGCAGAAATGATCAGCATTCAGTTATGAGCAGGGTCGACTGGAATCAAAATACTCAAATTCCAATTCTGTTTTCATTTTATCTCTGTGCCTCAGTTTCCTCATATGTAAAATGGAAATTATGGTCATAATATGTAGCAATAAGGTTGGGAATTAGGATTTTTAAAAAATTCACAAAGAATTAGCTTAGTATCAGGCACTTAAATGTTTAATGTTGTAATAAAACTTATTTAAAACTGTATTAGTAAAAATCATATGGGGGAAGGAAATTGTATAGTGAATATGTGCATCAGACTTCTTGGGATGCAATAAATAATGATATCATTACTGTGCTTGACATTTACCAGTCCTTCAGTTGATGGAATGTTAAACCTGTTAGGATATTTGCCTAGAAGATTTAGAAGTAAATGTTTCTTGAGTGTCTTATATCTGAAAATACACGTTGATGTCCAGGTTAGCAAGATGAACAAAGATGCGCAGATGAGAGCAGCGATTAACCAAAAGTTAATAGAAACTGGAGAAAGAGAACGGTAAGTTGTAGACTGTGTTTATAAATTATATTTTGCCACATTTACATTCTGGAAATCTAAATATCAAGAAACAAAGCATGTCAGTGGAAAGAAAATCAAGATTATCAGAAATTTCTGTTCCTAAGATCTATAAGAAATTATTTAAGTCAGCATTGCAAGAATTCAAGTGAAGAAGGTAATGTAGAAAGACAGGAAAAAATGCTTACCTTTCAAAGAAGTGTAATAGAGAAGACATACATAAGTCTCATACAGAGAATTACAGTTGAAAGCATGATGCATCAGGGAGACAACATGATACCAAATGATGTTCAGTTGCCAAACTCTTGATCACAAGGCAGCCTGTGCTATTTCTATTCTCTTTTCATTTGTAGTGAGTTACTTTTGTTGCTTGTTTTTTGTTTTTTGTTGTTTTTTTTTTGAGACATGGTTCTATTATGTATAGTTGAGGCTGGCGTTGAGCTCACTGTTTAGCCCAGGCTGCCCTTGAACTTACCGCAGTCTTCCTGCCTTCCATGTGCTGGGGATACAGGCATGTGCCACCACACCAGGCTCATATGCAGCAGATTTTAACTCATTCATCAAAAAATAGATATTTCTTCTTCATGGAACCCATTGATTAAATCCCTAATACTTTGTTCTATGGTTGTATTTAATTACACTGGAGTCTAGCTACCTACTTCACTAGTTTGTCCTCCATTGTGATCTAAGTTCCATGAGGGTAGAAATACCTTTGTATGCCCAGCATCTACTCTTAACACCTCACATCTAATTGGCCAAGTAAATACTTGAAGAATGAGTGGATTTAGAAGTACAAAGAAAAGGCTGAGAATCAAGAAAGACACCCAAGAGCAGAACGGTAAAGTTTACAAGAGACATATGTAAAGTCTTTCAAGTCTTTTTGAGTTAATTTGCTCAAGTGTGATCTCATAGAATAGTTAAAGGTGAGATTCAAGGACTAGCAGTTCTTCAGTCAAATAAAAGAGGATATTTTACACAGAGGGAAGAGAATATGTAAGTATGCAAAGTCATTGTTTAATATAACATGATACTACTCTGAGAACTGGAAAGTAATTGCAAAATACTTGCGGAGAGTTAGAGGATAAATTATGAGAACATGTGGTTGGAGTGGAGGAGTGGATTTTTGTGTAAGTCAGAATAATTCAGTTGAAAATAATAAAAACTGAACTCAGCAACAGACTTAACCAGTGGAAATGTATAAATTCATACAATTAAAATATGTAGGGCTTGGAATTGTTTCATCCATCATTGAGTCCACACATGCAGAAGTTATTGCTAAGAATATTTTTCTTTTCTTCTCAGTTCTGCTTTTCTCTACGTTGTTTTTATTCTTAACAGGCCCAGCCTCCCTTCCTTATGAAAGGGCCTGCCTTGATTACCATCTCAGGTCATAGGAAATTTACGGAAAACCTTGTTTAGGCCGTATTTCTACCCAGATTCATGTTCTGGGAATGGGAGTATTTTTTCTATCAAAGATTATATGATACCATGGTTTGCAAGTGCTCCTAGCTTTATTGTTGCATGATGGGAATTAAAAGATTTTAAGAAAGGAAATGACTAGATTGCATTTATACTTCAGAGATTTTCTTCTGGCTATGTGGGGAAATGACTTGCAGAGGTCTAGATAGCAGAAAAAATAGTTTGAAGATTGTATTGGGTTAAAAAATGGAAAACTGCAAAAATGGAAAGGAGAAGTTACATTTTTTTTTTAAAGAAGCAGTTTTTGCTATGAGGAAGGAGCCATTTAGAATAGTACCATGGGTAACTTAAAAGGATAATACTGTTAGTAATAAGTACAGGGAATTATATTTTTTTTGTTTTTTTTCATACATGAAACTTGAAGTTACTGAGTTTTTATCATGTGTCATGCTGTTAGGTGCTGCTGCAGCTATCTAAATAAAATTAAGTCTACTCTTCTGGAACCTACATTCCAGGAAACAGATAACGTATAATATACTAAAGTTCGTAAGTGCCGTAAGAAGAGTGCTAAGGAATCTGAGTAAGTTGGATGAGGGAGAAAGGAGATAAAGTCAGAAGTACTGTTGGGGATAAGGTAAATCATGGAAGATCTCTTGGGCTAAGGTAGACTTTTTTCCCAGAACTGGAGATTAAACCTAGCATCGTCACATACTGAACCACCTTTCCACACATTTTTATTTTTGAGACTAGATCTCAAGGTTCCTAGTGGGACTTACTACTTATGGTCCTCCTGCCTGCACCTCCTTCAGTGCTGGGATTTCAGGTGTGTGCCACTGCTCCCAGCTGTGTGTGGGAATTTTATTCTAAGCAAGCTGGAGAGGCCAGGGAGGGTGTTGAGCAGTGGTATGAATCAGGGAGGTAATTTAGGAAATTAGCTAACAGTCTAGACAAAAGATGGTGATAATGGTAGAAACATTTGAATTCTAAGTATATATATTTTAAAACTAAAATCTTTGAGATGTGAACAGTGAAGGATGCTGCAAGGGTCTCTAGTCCAGCAACCCAGAAGAGTGGAGTTGTTGTTTGAGAATAAAATAAGTAGAATATTAAGATAATTTGGAGTTGATTTTGGCCCTACAAAAAACTTAATGAAATTTCAAGGTAGAAATGTCATACAGCAGATTTCTTAAGATTATCAGAAGAGAAGTTTACGTGGAAAATATCTTTAAGAAATTTGGTGTAGGATTGTGGATTTGTAAGAGCAGGAGTGGTAAAGAAATATAGAAATATTGTATCCATGATGCCATTAGTTGTGGTAGATGTCATTTTTGCCATTAAGTAAAAAAAAGAGGGCCCAGCAAGATAGCTCAGATGTCTGAAGTGCCTGCCTAGGCAAACTTAGGCAAGCATAGGGACCATTGTTCAATCCCTGGCACCACATGCCGCACCAGCCCTGCCCCGAGGGCAGGCTGAGCTGGTCACAAAAAGAAACAAACAAACCAAAAAAAAAAAAAAAAGAGAAAGAAAAGAAGAGAAAGAAAAAGATACTGCTAATTAAATCCCCATAGGCATATTTGCTGACTTATTAAAATGTGGAGAGGTAGTGGCAGTATGAGGTTAGATGAGAGGTATAGTGAGGCAGTAAGAGAGCTAAAAAATAGAATTTCTGGGCAAGAATGGATTTTTAAATTTGAAGATTTCAGAAGTACAAGCTCGGTGGAGG